TTATAATATGAGGACTTTAACTATGTTGTTTAAATAACAACCTGAACATGGTGTCTCATAAAAATCATATAAACGTTACGTGTATAATAAAAACCCAATCATTCTGAAATAAATGATTGATAGTCTTTTCATTGTTTAGTATACTCTAAATGCACTTGATAGTTGTATACCCTTATTTAGTTTTGAATCAAACTCTTGTTCTCGTGCAATAGTATAAACCTATGTTCTTGTAAAATAGTGTACTCTAGTATACTTGACTCGTGAGTTGATGTTCTTGAATCATAAATTATAACTATTATAATTTATATGTACTTTCTGTATTGATACTAACTGTTCGTGAATGCAACCCCTTGCTCGACATGTTAGAAAGGGTATTTGAAACTGAATGAATAATCTTTATGTGTGTGTGTGTGTGTATATATATATATATATATATATATATATATATATAGAGAGAGAGAGAGAGAGACACACACACACACACAAGATATATAACTAAAATTGAAATGACAGTCAGATAAATAACTAATACCCTAAATACACATCCAAACAAGGAAAAGGAAATAAAGTGAGTTAACAGTCCAAAGTCTTTTAAATCTTATATATATATATATATATATATATATATATGATTTTTGAGGAAAAATATAAGTTTATAAAAGAGTTTAACATTTTGAAATACTTTTGATGACTTGATGTCATTTTATCACAATTTTAAATCATTTGTTTGTAACACAAAATTCTTGTGTTAGACTTGTATCCCACCTCCCCCTTAATATAGTAAAATCTATGAAAATATGGGGGGTATGAACTTACATGATAGGAGGTGATTTGTGCAGCGTTTCTTTTTTTGGAAAGAAGTTTTCTTGATAACTGAGAGTTTTTGATGAAAAACATTTCCGATACAAGATTGAGAACTTCGGGGCTTGCTTCAGGTGTTAGATATGTCATTGGGGCTTGAGGATAGTTTAGAGAGGTTTAAAAGTGAAGAAAAGTAGGAGAGAGGTTGAGAATTATTAACATAATCCGTAGGCCTCGCATCCAATTTATAAGAGGGTTCTGGTCTCGGTACGATGGGCGTAATGTTCACATACGATGGGTGTACTACATAAATCCTTAGTACGATTGGCATACTTCTTGTATGTTGGGCCTACTAGTTGGGTTCTTATCCGAACTTCGGAGGTGGCAAGTCTACGAGATACGTGTCAAAGCTAGTCTCATTACGGTGGGCGTAATCTTTTAGTACGTCGGGCATAATGGCCACCTAGCTTCGGACGTGTCGATTGTGAGAGATACGTGTCACTTTGCGAAGAAAGAGGCTACGTGGACAATATGACACATTGCATCTTAGTACATTGGGCGTACTCTTGTACGCGGGACGTACTTCTCTTTTTCAAACTTTAAAAATTCATATCTTTTACATACGAATTCCGTTTTGACATTCTTTATATCCAAGTGTAGGTGAGTCCATGCTCTACAACTTTCGTTTAGAATCCGTCAGCTAATTTTGAATTTATTTTTAAAGTTATTTATTTAACAGGCCGGGACAAGAAAAGTCTATTAAAAATTCATAACTTCTTCATCCAACATCCGTTTTCGTCTATCTTTTTAACCTTGGATTTATTTTGATAAGATCTTTGATTCTCGTTTAGGTTGTTTTGGCCAAATGTTCATCAAACTAAATTTCGAGTTTCGGGCTGTCTACAGTCGTGTCAAAACTTAGAAAAATTATAACTTCTTCATACGAAGTCAGATTTAGATGTTCTTTTTTTTTTTATTATTTTTTTTTATGGACACTCTCTGTTTAACATATGCTATAACTTTCATTTAGATAGTTAAGGCTAAAAAGTATTTTATTGAAAATTCACTTTTTACGTTAAACAATGTTATGTTGGTTTTGTCACGTATTTTCGATAGGTCATTAATTCTTCGTTATAACTCGGATTTGGGCGTTCTTTATATTTTTGGAATCCTTGACACGATTTGTACCAGTATATTCATCCCAATTAAGTTTGTTTAACATTTCATTTTTGAGGGTCGATTATGTAAATGCACATAGTATACGAAATTTTTTCTTTATTATTTTAAAAAGAACTACAAATTGATCTATACTATTATATAGATTCAAAATAACAAGTTGTTACAACTACTTTGGGGATTCCTTATTTGTAGGCATTAGTCAATAAAGGAAAAAATGAGGAAGGAAAGATTAAATGAATGATCATACAATCCTTTGTCTCGGAATTGTATGATTCGGTAACACCACAAGAAAATTTATTCAGGTGTTGTCTAAAAAACTAGAAATTCTTGTACAATATAACTAGTACATAACCTATACATCAACACCAAACAATGTCATAGAACGGAGCTCTACTCTTCTTCCGAATTTCACACACACCCTTAATATGATACTACCCAATATCCAAACTTAATTGAAATAAGAATCCTTTATAAGTCTTATTTTATTATTAGGTAAGACTTTAATACTTTTAATCAACTTACTAAACCATTTTCTTGTTTGCTATAAAATACAGTATACGACTACACTTTTACCCAAACATAACTAGAACTAATCTTCCTTTGTATGTCTTAGTTTAAAACATAGACAATACTACAATCTGTGTAATTATATGTTCACTAACAACTCTGTTTGCACAAAGCTATCGTAATTTGGTGTATATATTTAACACAAACAATCAGGTATTTAATATACATTAATATTTTAAGTAATAATACTTCTATTAAGATCGGCATGTAATAATATCGTATATAAGCTTAACAAATATATAACCATATTTGGTTCACATAGTGTTCATATAATATTGCCAAATATATAATTAAAATATACATTAATCGTTTCAGTAATAATACTTCTATTAAGATTGCCATGTAATAATACCGTATATAAACTTAACAAATATATAAGCACATATGGTTCACATAGTATTTATATAATATTGACAGATATACATTTAAAATTTCTTCCAGAGAATAAGAATTTAATTAAAAAAAAATTTCCAACATATATTTGATACTTTTATTAAATTCATGTTCGTGAAAGAAAACTATATACTCACTTGACTGAGGTGGAAGATTTGCGGGAAAGTCAGTTCCTTGAATGACACTTCAGTTTTCCCTTTTTGGAATAACCTAAATAAAAATATTTTAATGTTTTGGTATTCTTTCGTATTTATAAGGGTTATATTAATTATTTATGGATTCTTCAATAATGACAATGAATACATCAAGCACTAGCTAACAAGGAATAACCAGGTAAGATTACTCTAGAGGTAGGTTCCATTTGGTAATCAGATGTAACATTTGGAAAATGCACTTTAAACAACTCATAAATCTAGCCTAGACATCACTCTCGTAGTTAGATCAATCATTATATAGAGTAGTATTAGTGATAAATCACAGTAAAGTTATACGTAAGCACAGTGAAGTATAATTCAACTTATAGGTTTTCTAGTGAAAACCTAGAAACTACACATGTAGAACTTCAAAACCAAAAGCTCTACTTTTCCAGGCTTTCTAGCACTCCACAACTTAACTACTAACACTTAAAAACTCCTGAAGTCGGGCCTCAAGGTTGTTGGAGAGTTTGGGAGAAAATAGGAAGTAATTTAGGTGGAAAATGAGTGAAATTCGGAAAATATGTATAGCTAAACAAGAAAGATGCATCGCTCATCTCTAAATGGAAAGATGTGAATGAGCCATGTCAGTAGTCTTAGGGAGGAAGGGTTTCACTCGGTTGTGAAACATGGTGGAGTTCGATTGCTGGCACATGGCAAGCATCAGTTGGTGACATGTGCCTAATTCCTATCGTGCCATGTCATCAGCTTTGTACGTAAGTTTTGGAACATTGAAAAATCATATATTTCGCATAAAAGCTCCGTTTTGGGCACTCTTAATATTCACGGTTTCATATTTATGAGTACTACAACTTTCATTAAGAATTTATTGGCTAATTTACAATCTACTTTTAATTATACAGTCTATAAGAAATACATTTTAAAATTGCTTGCAAAATTCATAACTTTCTCATACGACGTCCGTTCCGAATGTTATTTATATCGCCACATTTGTATTTATGACTACTACAACTTTCATTTAGATTGTTTTGTCTAAAGAGTAACCGATCTCCATCTCACTTTTTATAACACAAACATTGTATCGTGTCGAATACGAAACATTGAAAAACTATAACTACTTCATATAAAGTCAGGTTTTTTATCTTTATTATCAAGGCTTCATAATTATGATTACAACAACTTTCATTTAAAACATTTATCCTAAATATTACTTTTTCTAAAAATGTTATTCACTACAAGAAAAACAACCTTTTACGACGTGCAATTTACGAAACGCGCTGATTAATAATACGCAAAAGTGTGTGCCCTAAAAAAAGTTGTCAGACCTTTAGAAATTTTAAGAATTTTGGACGCGCATTTTTGTGTGCCCCTAAATTTGTGTCACAAAAAAAAAAAAAAAAAAAAAAAAAAAAAAAACACGGAGGGCACTTATTAAAAAGAGCGTGTCCTATAAGCATGTCGTTTTATAATGTTTTAGGAAACACGCATCTGATAATAACAAAGGGGGGAAACAAAATCCCAAAAGTTAAAAACCCCACCTTGTGTTCTTTTCTCCCTTGTTTTCACCACTCGAAAATCCCTTCTCCTTACAAGCCCTACGTTCGATTGACGCAGAAGCAGGTTCGATTCTTCTCTTATATGTTATCTTGAGCTTGATTTTCAATATTAGAATAGAATGCAGGGGTTATTTTTTTTTTAACTATCCTAAATTCCACAAAATCGTGGGAACCATTCTTGCTAGGGCTTTTTTCAAGAACCAAGCTCTCGGTGTTCTCTGGCCTCTACAATAATCATCGATCATGACTGTGCTTGAATAGTTGAATGTACTGCTTTCTCAACACGCTTTCTTGCTCATATATGTGTTTGATTATCCCTCATGACTTCCACACACAAACACTATCGATCATGAAACGTCTTCAAGGTAATTGTCATTCTCCCTCTTATTCTCTATCCTATTTTGTTATGGCCGAGCAACATACCGCCTCCTCTACCGCCATCACACCCTTCTACTATGCTCTGCTTCCATCACTCTATGAGAAAAAACCTAAAACCTTCTACCGCCATCACATCGATGCTTCACCTGCTGAATCAATAGTTACGACAATTACCTCATCATCCAACGATCCCAAGCAAAACCTAAACCAAGTCATCAATTCAATTCAGAAAACACTAGGAACCATCCATCAGCTCTACCTCACTTTCTCTTCCATCAACGTTTCCTCCCAACTCCCGCTTCTCCAATGCCTGTAAGTTCTTTACCTGTGTATTATCAATTTGATGTATTTTCTAAACACGAGCATGTTTCAAGATTGCGATACTGACTCGCTATGTCAAATAAATTCTTAATCAAATCATCTTCTTTTACTTATGGAATCTGGATAATTTTATTTTCACTGTATGCAGAAACACACTTGTTATGGAGATGGATAATATGGCGAAAGTGGTACCTCTGTCTGTCTCCGCACATAAGGTGTTTGGTAAAATGCCCCAGAGAGGTAATTCACGCCACTATGGCATGCCCTCTCCTTGATTATGCTCAATCACTTTTCTATGCGAAGCAGATCGGAGTTGGTTTCTCTCTGACCCCTTTGTATCATCATACAATTGATCCTAGGTCTCCCCATCAATAATGTTTTTCAATATTAATGGAATTTCTTTGCAGTTTACAGACGCATGACAAGTGCTAAATGAAATACATGAATAGATTGTGTTCACAACTCTTCCCTTTCGAATTTGAAGTTCTGTGATTTTAGCTTAATTGTATTTATATATTGAAGGTTTTATCTTATTAGCTTAATTTATCTTTTCCTTTAAAATTTAAGAAATTTTCACACGTTTTTATGTTGATTTGAGTTAAATGTTGATGATGCTTATATGTGGTCTTGATAACTTGATTGTTGATATGTGTTTTCTTTAGAAAAAAGAAGGCAAACTTGGTTTTACTCCATATTGGGTGTTATGTCTATGGTTTGACTTTTGAATCATTAGTCATATGAGTTTGATATATTACATTCCATTATTAGTTTTTTACTCCCTATATTTTATGAGAATTGATTTTTTTTATTTGTGTCTTGTATTATATATTTGAGTTAAAACAACTTAAACAAGTAACCAGATTCGTGGTTATTATGTATTTGTATTAGTTGGCTAGTTTTACAAATTTTCTTTTCTATAGAATATGTATAATAGCCATATAAATTGTAAAGTTTAAAAGGTAATTTCTTGGCTTCAAAGTCTTAAAAACTTCAAAGTTAAAAAAGTAAATATTTTGAAAGCAATAAAGAGAGTTCAATGATGCACGGGTTCTCTATTTTTTACTCTTTGATATTAGAGATAATATTGTTGTATTAGTACATGTAAGGGGATGTTTCTCTTTTACTTAATGAGCTTAATGAGTTGAATTGACACTTTACACTCACAATACTTAATAGGAAAAAAAAAACAACCCATAAATATTAAAGCTTATGTTTGTAACTCTAATCATATTGTTTCTTTTAGGAGGGGATGGAAGTACCAAATAAATTTTACATGAAAAGAGACAGTAAGTAATATTAGCCCTTTATTACATACTTGTTTCATCTGCATTTAAATAATGGGCTGTTGATAGGTAATATACATTGTTGGAAGCGAACCTCAGAATGTAAAAAGTATAGTAGCTGAAACAGTACCTCTGGTTACTGCTCATGTCATTGTAGGTTACCTACCTTAATAACATTATTTATAAATTTGGAGTAGTGGGTTTGAGAGTAAGTAATCCTTATTTTTGTTCTTTTAGTAAAAAAAGAAGAGACTAAGAAGTTGTGTAATTGGTTTTTAATGCAGGTTTTAGTAAACATGAATACTGCTAGTGCAAGTGAAATAGTGATACAATTTTAATCAGCGATGCTTTGCATACGTGGCGAAGATCATCCATTAATATAGAAATATAAACAATACGCATAGGTGTTTCCTTTGTTGCATCAGCTTTTGAATTTTTGACCAATATCTCGACCAGAGCTCATTTCTTTTGTATGATATCCTTGAATATTTCCAACACACCATCAAACTCTACCTCAGCTCGTGAACTTCTTATGAACTTCTCCCCATTAGCCAACAAGGACTTCTCTTAGTAAATGGTCTTCACAGGCGGAGTCAGTTTCCAGTCCCCACAATTCTTTTTAAGTATCTGAGAATAATTACTTTTGAGTAGAAGAATAAGAAAATAAAACTTTTCTAACCTGACAACAACAACGTCGTACGTGCCCCGGTAAAGAAACAGACGAAGGTACATAAAGAGGTTGTCAATTGTGTTATGACCGAAAGAGAAATGGTGGAGGTCCGATATGGTGGTATCTCGCTAGGATGTTGGGCTGACTTTCTCGCTGTAGATTTAATGAGGTACGGGCTTAATTTTTTATTCATTGTCATACCTGAGTAGAGGTCTATTATCTGATCTGACTTCGACCCCAACACTCTCATTTTGGCCCCATTATTCTTTTTAGGCCCACTACAATTGTGGCTTATGTGGATGCAAGTCAGATTTGAGAAAATTGCATAAATGGTCCCCTGTGCTTTCTGATTTATTACCATGTTTAGTCCAAAAGATAACAGATGAATCAGTTTCTTGTATTTCTCTTCTTTCAGATGCTTCCGGAAGGTGATTGGCATTATCCAAATTGTGCATGCAAATATTGCAGTAAGGACAGTGGTAGAACTCGAAGTTCACTTCTTACATGTCGCCTTTGTGAGAAAAAAAGTAAGTTTTTTATTATTTTAATTTTTTTATGTTTATAATCTTGTTATTTAGGGTTTTAGGTCTTGCTGAAAGACAACTGTTGCTCTTGCAGATAATAACATCCTCAATTGTCTAGAATTTTCAATTAGCTTCAAAAGGTGAAGAAAATTGGTTACTTTCCACTACTCATCCGCTCACCATCCCCGCTTGTCTTCCGCCACTTTGCTTCCTTTGCACGAACAACAGTCATTCAACTTCACAAATATCATAAGGTAAGTCTGGAACTCCAAAGTCGATTACTTTCCCACTATTTCAATAATTCCATTAGTCTATTACTTTCATGATTAGACTACTTAATTTCTAGATTTGAATGTAGATTCCTTTTTCAGTTGCTTCTCAATATATATATATATATATATATATATATATATATATATATATATATATATATTTCAAGTTGTACTTAGATGTTCGATGTGTACATAGTCGTTTCATGCCATCTTTGTTAGGCCTTCTTTGTTAATCTGATAAATTTGTGTATCTTGTTACTATTAATTTTTTTATAGGAAATATTTTAAATATATATCTTGTTAACATGTTCAGGCTACGGAGATGTATCAATCTAAAAATATTTTGTTAAAGGCTCAAGGTATGCCTACCTAATAGAGAAGGAGTTTTACGCATGATGACATCGCAAATCCATTAGAGTAAGAATAATAGTCATGACTATTCGTCAAAATTTGGAACTTTTTCACATATGGTTAAGTTATTGACTTGTTCTTATACCTTTTTTGTTTATTATTTTAATTTTGTATGATTTCAAATGATTACAATTCATTTATATATTACTGATTCATTTCGTATATTAATAAAAGGTGCTTTTATATTTTTTTAGTCATTATAAATGCTAGTTTGAGACTAAATGATCTGAGATTGATATCCTATGTCACTAAGAAATCAGGTTACGGACCGAATGCCATTGTATTTGAGACTAATATCCACTCATTGAAAAATTAGATTAGGAACTGAATGACATGATATGTGAGACTGATATTCAGTTACTAAACAAGCATTTTAAAGACCAAATGAGACAATATTAAAGACTGGTATTCAGTCCTGGAATGATATTATTTAGGGCTAATATGATATGAGTTGGTCCTAAAAGGAAATACAATGGAGACTGAGAATGATGTTACATAACTTAGGGAACACGTTTTTTTACGTTTAGGTACAAGTCACTGCTAAAGATGTTACATAACGTAGGGAACACATTTTGAGGTTGATGAAGAGATGTGTGGGGATGATGAGGATAGGGAGGCTTTACAAGAGACCATAAAGAATATGCAATCTAGTACAGAGCTCGTATTCAGGTCTATTTAGGTTTCTTTGTTCTCTATGAGCCTATCTTCTATATCGAGTGTTAAAGTCTCTCTTTTAAGGACTACACTTGACAAGAGAAATGATTATAGATGAAAAGATTATTGTACATGTTATCATGTGATACCACTACACCCACCCCCTAGTGATATTTCAACAGAGAGGACTGCACAGATAGATGGATCCAGTGAGCAGATTGAGGCTGTAAAACAGTTGGGTAATGAAGTAATCAGTGAGGTATGTGCAGTTTTACAAGGAGACCAAGCATCAGCTTGGTTTCAAAAACTATATGCTAGATTGCACTTGCTTTTCAGTATACATAGCATCTTTATTCTTACTTGGATAACATAGTATACTTTGATTGCTCAATATGTGAATCTAATGGCTGCATGATTCAAAATGAAACTCTTTAAAATGGTTTTTTTAAAGAACTTTCTGCTAATTTAAGACAAATCGGGTATCTTTTAGTTAAAGATTCTTACACCTCCCATTTCTGCCCTTTGTATTTGGTCCGTTATGGACAGCCACCGCCACAGCAGTCTCCTAATGCTGCCCCACAAGGTGGTGGCTATGCCCAACCAGCTCCTTATAGTATACTTTGATTGCTCAATAAATAATCTAATAATTTAATTTATGTTTCACATTTTAAGGATAAACTAAAGAGGTTCATATGGCCTTCCAGTTGGAGAAATAAAGTTAATCTTGCATGAGGAGATATACATGTTGCAAAGCGTATCAAGTCTGACTACCCATGTGACCCATTGGAGGAAGCTCAAGGTTCTTTACTTCTCTTACAATGTAATAATCCATCTTCACACTTATTTTGTAGTTATGTTTTTTATTTGTTTTTGCAGGCAATATAGATACTTTGAGCAAGTTCATAGATTTAGAGTCCTTGAGTGGTGTTACTAAGGAAGAGTGGAGACAAATGAGACACACATTTAAAAAAATCAGCACAAATCTTGTTTATAGTGACGAACACATTAGGTTATTAGAATTATTAGTTTGTAAATTTCTATTACAACTCTACTGATTTGTTTTATCTTTTTATGGAACGATTATTTGTATGGCATCAAATTTTATGAAATGGATTGTATTTTTTGTATATGATATTTTATTTTCTATTATGAGACATTAAATAAAAATTTCATTTGAAAATTAGTAAATCTATAAATAATATTTTTTTAAACATTTAAAATTATGATACGCAAAAATGTGTGTCATCTTCATTTATGACATGGCCTTTCTTGACAGGGGCATTCTTGATACGCATTGCGTGTCATTAACACGCGCGTCGTAAGGTTACGACACACGAATGCTTGTCGTCTTCCTTTATGATAGGGTCTTCCTTGATACGCATTGTGTGTCGTAAACGCGCGTCGTAAATGATTATCGTAAATGCGCGTTGTTTCTCTTTATGACAGGGCCTTCCTTGACGCGCATTTGCGCGTCGGCTGAGCCTTTTACGACGCGCAATGAGCGTCGTAAAAGGCTATTTTTCTAGTAGTGATTTGATCACTTAACGATAAATTTTATAGTCAAATTATCTACAAATGTTATATATTCATAATATTTGTCCACATAACGTGTAAATGATAATATTTGTATAGCTCATAATATGTACGAAGAACAATTACCATATTCAAAGATTTTAAATTTAAAATAAAATGTTTGATAATTATTATTATACTTTAGATGTCTATCTAGAATTTACAGGCACTACAGTCACGAAACCCATGGTAATATCATCCCACTTACCCAAGTGTAAAAGTTCCCATATGGGTTCCGGCGTTGTGCTTTTACTCTTGAACAAGTGACACATTCCACCACATACATTTCCATGTCGATCTTCATTGTTAGCCACCGAGAATTGCGCTTTAGGTCTAAATCCAGTTGGTGTTGTTTGGGCTTATGGAATACATGGTTTTATGAGAATCTTCCATGAGAAGATCCTGTATACCACCTATTTTCAACACACAAATGTAATTTTAAATTAATTTCAACCCTTGATTTCCTTCCTCGAACACTAATGTATTTCTCAAATTATCTTCTCCCATCTTATCCTCTGCTAAACTTCCGGTTTCAACTTCTTTGATCTTCCTTAAAATTGGTGAGATTACTTCAATCTTTAACGATCAAGGTCTTTTCCACTCTGGATTCACTTCAATCTTTCACAATCCTAGTCCTTAAGTAGTTCCAGCCCTCGTCTTTGTCTCATGTTCAATTCTTTATGAGTAAAAAGATATTTCAAGATTTTATGTGATGTAAACAATTTGCATTTAACCCAATAAAGATAGTGTCACTAGATTTTCAAGAAAAAAAACCACCGCCGACAACTCTAGATCATGTGTTGGGTAGTTTTGTTCGTGAACCTTCAATTGTCTCGAGGCATATGCCCCCACTTTATATACTTAGGTAAGAATAAATCCTAACCCGACTCTGCAAGCATCATTGAATACTGAAAATTCATCAATTCCTTCTGATAGGATGAGAATTGTGGCTTCACATAATCGCTTCTTCAGTTCACCAAAAGCCACTTCTTTCTTCTCGTTTAAATTGTAGGCAATCTGTTTTCCAGTCAACACTATCAGTGGAGTAGAAATAAAAGATAAGTCTTTGATGAACCGTTGGTAGTAATCAGCTAATCATAGAAAATTACAAACTTCGGTGGGACTCTTTGGCATCTCCCATTTCATGACAACTTTGATTTTTGTTTGGTCGACCATTATACATTTCTAGGTAACCACGTGATCCAATAATTGTATTTCTTGAATCAAAAAAACACACTAAGAGAACATTGCATAAAATTCTTATCGTCCAGGACTTCTAATACTTCTTGAAGAAGTTTACCATGATCTTGAATGTTTTTTCAGTAAATCAAGATGTCATCAATGAATACTATTAATGTTTTATTGAGAAAAGGTTTACAAACTCGATGCATCATATCCATGAATACAACTGGATCGTTTGTTAGCCTAATCAACACACCTTGGAATTTGTATTGTTTATACCTTGTCATAAATGTTGTTTTTTCAATATCTTGATCCCTTACTTTCAACTGATAATATCTTGACATGAGAATCAATTTTGGAAAAGAAAGTTGCTCACTACAATTGGTCGAACATGTCATCTATTATGCGTAATGGGTACCTTTTCTTTATCATGGCCTTGATTAGCTCACAATAGTCAATGTACGTTCTCATCGCACCATCTTTTTTCTTCACAAAAATTAATCTATTGCCCCATAGCGATGAAATAGGACTAATGAAACCTTTGTCCAATAATTTGTGGAGTTGCGTCATTAACTCCTTCATCTCTATAAACATGAATCGGTAAGGTACATTTGTAGTCGAAGTTGTGCCTGGCAGTACATCAAATTTGAATTGTACTTGAGTAACTAGTGGTAATCCTGTTAGATCAAATGGAATTACCTCTGGAAAATCACACACTAGTGGTATTTCAGTTATTTCCTTCTTCTCCTTCTTTATGTAAATCACATATTACAACAACATTGTACATCCCCTGGTAAGGGATCTTCTGGATTTCACTCTACTGTTATCACCGTATACTTATGCAAATCATTTTCTTTTTAGATGAAATGGAATCATGAAATTAGGATTTGGAGCTAGGAGAGTGTTCACAGTTGCGTCTGCTAGGTCTTTGATCGATAAAAGCAGGTTAGTTATAGGCAGTAATCCTACTAAATTGAATAATCTTGTTCCAATCAAGATCAATGAAACTGAACAAACTTCTGGTTAAAGTCAATCATGGTAAAAGTGTCATTGATATTGGCTTTCTTCGTTGCAAAAGTTGCGATTTCGAGGTCTAACAATTGGATCATGTACTTTTCACATGTCCCATGAATATTAGAATCTGGAGACAAATTATGAGTCTTTGGGTGAAATACAAACATGGGAAGCGAACAAAAAAGTCCAACATTAAAAACGAGATGTTTACATGTGGTGATTACTACGCAAATTTTGGGTGGCATTTTTATAACAAATATATATTTTGAAAGGTCAAACCTAAAAAAGCTTCTATCCTTGAATACATTATCACACAAATTTTTTGGTTATCGAATAGGAGCAATAAGATTAATCCTAATTGGATAGGTAGCCTTAAAGCATTTTTAATGTATTAAACTAGTTTTTGGTTGCCTAACGTCTTGTTAGGCTTCTTTTTATAAAATTCTACCTTTCCAAAAAGGAAGGTACTATACGAGTTACCTTTAGAAAAGGTATCTTGTTTCTTGATATATTTCAGTTAGAGAGATTCTTTAGTGATATATTGCTTTTGAATGGCTCATCTTCTATTTTAATTACTAGTTAATAACTCATGGAAACCGCAGTTATAAAAATAATCTTTCATAGTAAAAACACGAAATTATTAATCAATTATTTTAAATAACTTATTAAATAACAAAAAAAATTAGTTGTATAAAATTATAATCATTTAATTAAATAAATACATGAAATTATATCACCTTATAATTTGTATTAAGTTTATTTTAATTTAATGTAACTAGAATGAAAATTTTAAAATTTAAAATTTAAAGTGGAGAATCAATAGGTTGACAAGTAAAATGACATTAATTAGGAGTCTTAATAGAATGACACATGTCAAAAGGAAAACAAACCTATTTTTTTTTATTATGATACTAGTTTATAACCCGTGGGAAACCATGGTTATACAATTAATTGAACTTTTAAAGTAAAAACTAAATATTATTAATCAATTATTTTAAATAAATTATTAATTAAGAGATTTTTTTAGTTATATGAATTTTAATCATTGATTTAAATAAATATGTGAAATTATATCACTTTATAATTTGTATTAAGTTTATTTTAATTTTTATTATAATGTTATCAATTTAATTTAATTAGAGTGAGAAATTTAAAATTTGAAATTTGAAATGGAGAATCAGTAACTTTACAAATGTCATGTATTAATTAGGAGATATAATATGATAACGTATGACAGAAAGAGAATAAAATATGTATTAATTAGGAAGTTTAATAAGATGACACATATCAAGAGGAGAATAAAATTATTCTTTTATTAGATAGGGAGAGTAGGTGTAAGACCCATGTATTACATGAGTTCATTTTAAATGAAAAGATATGAAATTGTAAACATTTAAGAAGTTTGAATTTATAAGAAAAAATAGAAAAATATTGAATTATTAAAATTAAATTGTTTGTTTTTCTTTTAAATTAAACAAATAATTTAGATAAATAAACAAATGAGACTAATAAACTTTAATTTAGAAATTTTGAAATTAGAAGTAAGTCAATTAATGAAATGGATATGCATTTATTATTAAATTTATTGCAATTATTACATTTAAATATTATGTGAAAATTAATAAAATAAAAAACAAAAAAATGTCATGTGAAAAAAAATTAACTGAAAATAACCACAAGACGACATGTATCCAAATCAATGAGAGTGTCACATGTTTGAAAAAAGTTCTTTATTTATTAGGGAGGATGAAGATGAAGATATGGAGATGTTATACCAAACTCATGGTTTGTAGTTCTAGACATCCAATGGCAATTTAATGTCTCCAATTCCATGATTTGCAGGACTAACTTTGTAC